TAATTTAATAGCACCCGTTGAAGAGTTGACCCGTTTAAGTCAAACCCGCCTTGTCCCAGTCAAAACCCCACAAACCCGGGCGGTTAACCCATCAGCACGGCGACCGGGTTGGAAATCTCCATGACTGCCAGTCTGCCACACCACCCTCGTTTGAACCAGATCGCCGGTTGCTCCTCGTCACTGCGTCGGCTTTGCATATCTGCCGCCCCGTCGTCGTCAACATCATAACCACACCACAAGTCGGCCACTGCCTTGCTGCCTCTAGCCACGGTCATCCTGCCTCTTCGGAGCATCGTTTGGAAGGAGAGGAGGAAAGGGAATAGAGACTAACGTCTCTGAAAGAAAAAGAAAGAGAAAGTGATTGGGATATTTAGATATTTGCACTGCAACCCTAGGCGGCGAGAGATAAAGGTGAGGGAAATTTATTTTTGTTATTATCTCTTATTCGTGAAATTATAGTCTTGACCCCATAATTCAAGTTTATTAACAAAACAAACCATACAATAATTGCTGATTTGGTCCCCCAATTTTGTAAATAACTTAAAACAACTTTTCCTTTGTAAAAACGGGTTAAACGGGTCAACCCCGGTTGACCCATCAACCCACCACCCAATTCTCTGGCCGAGCCGGCGGGCCAATTCGGGTTAACAACCTTGGGCAATAGACATCCATTTAAATGTGACTTTGCAATTACATTGACCTAAATAACCTTCATCTAATTCTGCTAAAAAGATGAAAAGGATATTTACTCTACATACATGTTGTGAAGTCTCAAGTCACTTTCCAGTGATAGTTTGGTTTCCAAATTCCAAGTTCCAACTAGTTAGTCACCCACCCAATCAAAAGGTTTTCAAAAAGGAAATTCAATTTATGAGAGCAGGGGTAGTAGGGCTTTTAATCAGTTAGTTGTTATTGTTGCACATTTCCTCCTGTTACATCAGCTTCTGCTGCAGAAAACCCCAACCGAAGTTGGAAAAATCGTTTCAAAATCGTAACTCCTGCAGAAAAAAAGGATCAATGATCATTTCATGAATTGTGCCATGAAAATTAATCATAAGGGATTTGTTGATATCATCGCTGATAACTATTTTTACATGTTTTTGTAAATCTTCAGTGGGAATGTTGTTTCAATTCATTCACTTAATCTTTTTTACTTGAAATTTCGGGATGAAATACTTCGCCAAACCTAAAATATTACATTTAGAATACAAATATTTCAATTGTTGAATGTACAAACAGTCAAACTTTGGTAGCCACTGAAAGTATAAATGATTGTACTATTTACAAATTAACCAACATATCCTGCTTGATGCATTTAAATCATTTTCTTTACTGTCAACTGACTAGTCGAGACAATACACAAAATCATGTATACATGTATTCCAAAAATTCTACCACTGAAACATCTTTCTGTGAGTGCAATTGGTAATTTTTAGATGAGAGCTAATGATGTTCTTTCTTCTTTCTCCTCAGAAGTGTGTACAGCTTTTGTTTCATCTTTGAGAATCAAAATCATTTGCTAGGGATAACAAGGTAATACTACTCGAGAGTTGAGAGTTGTGAAGCTGCAATGTGAAATGAAAGCTCTCTGCCTTTTTATCCCTTAACACTAAAAAAAGCATAAACTCAAAAGTACAGCAAAATTGGCGGACACAGAGAGGAACCAATCCATAAACAAAATAATACTTGGTGAATGGTGGAGTGTACAAAGGAATCAAGGAAATTAGCTAGCAGTGAGTGAGCAGAGCAGCAGAATGCTCCCAAATCAAAGTGACCACAGATGGAAGAGGCAAGGCAAGGCAAGGCATTATCTTATATATATATATATATATAAAAGTTAGCTACACTTTTTTTCTAAAGTTACTATTTCAATTTTTGTCTTTTAGTGAAGATGAAAAAACTTGCCATCTTACCCCATCCCTCACACACTCAAATATATTAAAAAAAATCTTTATCATTTGGTCAAAGATATTGTATGTATAACAAAGGGGAAGATTGCTTTATTTAGCCGAATCAAACCGAACCGAGTAAAATAATTTTCTTGAAAATGAATCGTTAAGAGGTTTAAACGGTTCAATTTGATTTCAAGAAAATGAAACCCAAAGCTTAATTGAATATTGAGTGTTTGTGTATTGGTTGTGATTTTATTTTTATTGTTTTTAGCTTTTTCAGTTTTGACCAGACAAAAAATGCTAAGCACAAAAGGTTTGGGACCGAAACCAAAAAACGATAAGATCACCTTATCTGTTCGTTTAGTTGAAATTCAAGAAATTGAATCCGAACTGATAGTCCTATGCATGGCACACTTTGCCATCTTTCATTTTGGTCTTCAGATTATCCAGAATCTTAATTAATTGATTTTTTCATTGTTGCTAAGAGGAAAGTAAACATTGATGATGAATTCATTTTCTTTATATTACAAATTAGGTCAGGTGTCAACTACTCTCAGGAAAACTCTTTGTGTGGTTGGGTTAAGCCATTGAAAATCAGTAATCGCGAATAGGATACCACAAGCAGAGAATATATTCAAGTTCTTTAGGTTTGATAAAAATGTAGTAAAGAATTAACTGAACTTTAGTGAGGATGAAAGGGTGTCTTAAGTTGTAAACTACTCTCAGGACAACGATTAGTGGTGTCTTAAGTTGTATGGACAATGAGAAAAAATTATTTTAGTGAATTAGAGGTTAGGTGTTGTACATGTTAGGCTTATGAATAATAATCATATGTATGCGTTCACTTTTAGTGTTGAATTCGCTTATCATATGGATATGCAATCGCTCTATGTAGTAGTTAATTCATTGTATGTTTCATGATCCAAGTCAAAGTTGTGCTCGATCGATAACCTTCTAACTCTCTTCCTCACTCACAACAAGTTGAATGTTATTATTCAATGATTTTTTTTTTTTGAAATTTTACCTGTTTTCTCCAAGAGTTTTTATTATATGAGTCCTGATGGTTAGGCGTAACTTTCCTATTTATGCATTGTTCACTCAATATATGTTCATTCACCCAATTTACCAATGAATGGTAACCAAGTATTGTTGGAAATCATCATGGACTACAAAAATGGTTAATAATATAATAGATGTCGAAAGACATATGAGATATTAGCAGCTGCTTCACTCCCCATTTAGCGAGAAAGACCAACTAGATAACAAGAAAATATAATTTTTTTGTTCCCAGTTTGTTTGGACCTACCAAGGTTCTAATAAAGCATGATGATTGTTTCTTACACTTATGTCATGTAAATGTAGAATAAGCTTTTTATCAATTTTAATTTGTTTTATGTTGTTTGACATCTATTGTGTACTTCATTGTTTTTCTTTCCTTTCGTTAGTTTTAAGGAAAGGAGAACAATAAAATGAACTATGATTAGGGGTCTACATGAATCGGAGTGAGTTAGTTTTGAACCCTCTCAACCATGCAACTCATATGCCTTAGGTCAAGTGATGCACTACCCAAATCGAATTATATGACACATAAATCCATGTGTTTCAGGTGATGCGCCTGTTGAATTGGATTGATACTAGACATGTCTATACATTAACCAAATAGGGCAGAACCTCGGTTCATTTTATGTTAATCAAACCAAATTGGTTGGTTATCCAAAACCGAATTGCTGTCATTTTAGCAATTGTAATTTCTGTTGTTGCGATTACTAGAGAACCGAATATTATGATTTTTGGTTATGTTGCGGTTAACTGCGTTCAACCAATTGACCTATTTGTCATTATTTTTTGTTTAGGTTACCTAATGGGGTAGGCCATTTGGCTTTGGGGTAGTTTAATTTTGCGATTATATGGGAATTTTGTTTTGCAGTTTGGTGTGCAGTTACACCAAACATCAAAGATTATCTAAAACCAAATATGCAACTATTCTATTCCTTCATTTTATTGTTCTCGATTAACTATTAATCGTAAAATTCGAATCAGACTTCGGTTAACTTGCATGACCATAACCAAATTTTCTACCCTATAACCAAATACTCCCTGCGGCGTAGCCGCGGGTATTGATTCTAGTAGTATTAATTGTGAAAAAAGTTCGCATGAAATCGTATCGGAAACTAAACCAACGAGTCATCAATCGTCAAATAATATTTTAGAACTTATTATGAAAAAATTGTTATAAATAATCCTTATAGTTATCAACAAACGATTAAATGTAACAAATTATTCATATAAGTAGGTCGATTCAGTAATCGTTTCATTATCAATTGAGACTCATTTTGTACCATAAATCCAGCAACTAACATTGGCCCAAACAAATATGAACTCCTTTGTCTGTCACTTACCATGACTCCTGAATCTTGCCCGACTGACACAGCATGAACAAGAACCGAATCCATTAAATCAATAAATAATGATAAAAGAAAGAAAGCAGAGGGATGCCGAGCTGAAGGAGGGAATTATCTGTTTGAAGCAAAGCCAATTTGCCAGCTTAGCATTCAATGAAGTTTGCTATAAAAAAACACAAATTCGGATCACAAATGGAAGTAACCAAACAGAGGAAGCAGTTCTGAAGTTCATCTATGGTGGCCAAGCTTCAGTTTCCCAACGAATTTGTAATATCCACTTCACCAAAATTCTAAATTAAGGTATCGTTTGCTTGTGGGATTTGGGTGATGGATTTGGTACCCAAATCCCAAGCATAATGGAATTGGCACAAGTCCATTGTTTGCTAAGGGACACAAATCCGTGGGGCCCATGGATTTGGACCCATTTTTTAGATTCAAATCCGTGGACCCCACGGATTTGCAAATCCCACGTTTCATTTGGGATTTGATAATGGAAGGCAAAATGTGAACAAATCCATCATGAATTTATGACAAAATAAACTACACAAACAATGTACTCTTACAAATCCATAATGCAACAAATCCATCATAAATCCAAAGGTTTTGAAAACTCAAAACCCTCTTTTTCAAATCCAACAAGCAAACGAGCCCTAAGAATGTTGATTCGACATTTCGTTACCGACCCTACCCTTCAATTCGGTGAAACTTAAGCATCAGAAACCACGCTCGCACTGAACTCATCTTCTTCCACGGGAGCTGGCAAATTGAGATCCGGATAGCTGTAATTTTTGTCGATTTTGGCAGCCGACGGAGGTGGAGGAGCAATGGCTGCCGGCGGCGGGTAGAAACCACCACCGGTGAGATGTGATCTCTTGTGCCCACCCAGAGCTTGACCCGACCCGAACACCTTGTAGCAATACGGGCACCGGAAAATCCTGCCCGCCACCACATTCCCCATTCCTCTGCCGCCGCCGAGCTGGAGGAAGCAAATCCGGCGGTGGGATCCTAATGCCTGTGAGGATCGGAACTGTTTCATACATTTCTCGCACTTCAACTTCTTCCCCTGAATTCTGCTGCTCCTTTCCATGATCCTTTGATCTTCCTCCTCGATTTTCGCCCACTTCTTGATTTCTCCTCCATTTTCCGTCTCATCCTCTTCCTCTTCTTCAATTTCGCCCCTGTTGTAACTGAATCTGCGCTTCCAATTGACGTCCCTCGACAGCATCACCAGGCACATCGCCACGTCTTCTTCAGGGGAAGTATCGGAAACAGAGCTCATCGGTTCTTCCTCTGCCGCCTCCGGCGGCGATTCGATAACCCAACGCTGATTCTCGGCCAATCCCTTCTTCTCATCTCCGCCGGAATTCCGGGTCCGCTTGGATCGCCTCCGGGTCGGGTTCCTTGACTCGGTCTCGCTCTCCCTATCCTGCACGACGGAGGAAGACCCGGCGAAGGAGAACTCGGGATCCGCCACTCGGAAACTCTTCGTCGGGTTATCTCTTAACCCGTAAACCACCGCATCGCAGCCACCGACGAACCAACCAGCTGCTCCGCTCTTGACAAATTGCTGCTCCACTTCCAGCTCCTCGTCTTCTTCTTCTTCTTCTTCGGTATAGGAAATCGAGGACGACGATTCAGTTGCCGGATCGCAGTCCAGTCGACGGCGGCGAGTAGTGGGAGAAGAAGATTTGGGAGGAGGGATAGGGAACTTGGGCAAGTGAGATTTCATGTGGCCGCCTAGGGATCTTCCATTGGGGAACACTCTGAAACAGAGCTTGCATTTGTGCCTCTCCATGAGCTCCCTTCTGAGATAAAAACAAGATAGGAGAAGATGGGAGAAGGAAAAAGGAAAAAGGAGAGAGAGACGAGAGTTTGTTGGGGACGGGAAGTTAAAAGGAGTAGGTGACAAGCATTCTTCAACCAAAAGTACAGGATTTGACAGACCCAAAACTTATGAGAGATTTTGCACATTTGCAGGGGAGGGATAGAGAGAGTAAAGAAGGGAATGAAACTAACAATAACCAAAATCAGTTGTACACCTAGGGGTCAATTACATACCGGGTCACTCAACTTTGATTTTTAACCAACTTGTCACTAAAATTTAAGATAACAGACGGTTTATTAGTATGCTTGTGTGCGTCGAGTTTTTCTCTTTGTCGGTTATGCATATCTTCGTAGATTGAAGTGAAAACACCACTTTAGTGATACAAGGTCTAAATCAAACTAATGTTCTACTTTAGTAATTCACCAAATGAAACCTAGTAGTTCATCAAAAGATTTGCGTGGTTGTATTTCTGTTATAAATTTGGATGAGTCGATATGTTCATATGTACACTTTGAATTAAAGCTTGAGAGATGGACGAAATTGAATAATGGTGAGTCCTCAAATGGCAACCCATGAATTGTAGGTGCGGGGGACCAATGAGAGACGATAACAAAGATGGATAGATGGTTATTGTTCGAACCTAGGCTCTTGTACGGCGCCAATGGCAGAACTTCATGTGATTTATCATGGTTTAAATTAGGCTTGGAAGCAAGGCTGCAAAATGTTAAGAACAGAACAACAACAAGGAACAAGGTAACCGAATCTGGAGCTGAGTCGCGGACTAGGTCGCTCTCTTTAAGACGTTCGCGGCACTACTCTCGATGCGCACGGCAGACTATCAACCGGTCGTCTCCAGGATAAAACAACTCCTCTCAATACTCGCGGTTTTGTGCGAAAACCCGAGTTCTCTGAACACTCTCTCTATTGTGTTTATGCTCGTTGTTGTACCTTTTAGGGTTAGGCAACTCATCTATTTATATTGGATGAGACCTTCAGCCTTCCCCTCTTGGTGGAGGATTTGAGAATCTTCTTAAGGAAGGAAATCAAGAGTAATAACTCCTGATTAGACCTTTCTTTAATGCAGACAATTAACCCAATTGATAAAAGTTTCATTTAATACCAGAAATCAATCCAATTGATAGAAACTTTCCATTAGTATGGGCAATTGATCTAATCATGAAAGATTCCTTCAATATGGAAAATCAATCCAATTGATTGAACTTTCCGTTAATTCGGTCAATTAATTCTGATTGAAGAAACGTTTCCTTCAATACAGAGAATTATTCCGAATTAACTTCACTTACCTTTTCCAAGGACTTTCCTTTAGTTTTTACAAACTATTCACATTTCTCAACAATCCCCCACTTGAATAGTTTTGAAACTATCTCTGAGCACTAACAGTTCCATAAGATCGGGCATAAGCTAAGGTATCGCGAAGATTTGAACCTTAGCGTAGTGGTTACACTTCCGATTTCATAAGGGTGACTCGTAGTCTTGAACCCTATCTCAGACAGTGTAGCACACCGGATCTTTTCATTGAGTTGTGTTCTCTTCTTAGCCCGTGCGTTTATGGCCATGCACGTTATCCTGGTTTAGTGAACGCTCTAGCAACTTTGTGCCTCCAAAGTTCCATAGGGAGCGGCCCCACTCCCACATTCACATAGGTGATACAGGTGAGTCTATCAAAAGTACTCCCAAAGTAAAGTACTCCACCCCACATAGGGTATAGATCTCATTAAGAGTTATTAACTCAACCTCCATTGCTTTGGGATTCATGCTTCACTATGCATGAACTTTTCACATACTACTCATGACTTGTTATTACCCATTGAACCCATTTCTTGGGATCTCCAGTCTATTGGGTCGGGTTACCATCACTTGTAGTTCGTGGTTCGGTAGGCATAAGTCCCATACCCTTGGCGGTATTCTGGACTTTCTCTCTAGGTAATACTTTCGTCAAAGGATCAGCTAGATTCTGTTCGGATCTTATATGATCCACCCTCACTGCTCCTATCGTTAGGAGTTCTCTTACAGTACTGTGCTTACGACGAATCTGTCGTTTCTTTCCGTTATAGAACCGGTTCTCAACTTTAGCGATAGCTGCGGTACTATCACAATGTATCAATACCGGAGGGACCGGCCTTTCCCATAGGGGAATCTCTGACAACAATCCTCTCAACCAACTAACTTCTTCACTAGCCGTTGCTAGTGCTATCATCTCTGATTCCATAGTTGATTGAGCTAGGATTGTTTGTTTCTTTGACTTCCAAGACATAGCTCCACCAGCGATGTTAAAAACATATCCGCTGGTTGCCTTGGAGTCATCTTTTAACAAAATCCACATGCAACCCAATTCGTTAATTACAAAAGCAGTAAAACTCATCCTCTACCCAAAATTCGTCAACACCGGATTCAACTCGATAAAGCCGGCCGAGTTTGTAACAACTATCCCCACCCGACCCAATTTGTTAACTTGTTAATTACAAAAGCGGGTAAAATTTGTTTTCCATCCAAAACTCGACCAAACCGGTATCGGGTCAAATTAGCTTGAACACACATGAATTTGGATTCAACTGTCATAAGAGGCAGGTTCAATTTGGGTTCAATCCCAAAGCAATCCAAAAATTGTGAACACACATGAATTAGTTTGAACTCACATGAATTTCTCTTACTGGTGTGATACAGCGGGCGAGTTTCTAACAAAATCCACACGCAACACAATTCGTCGATCACAAAAGCGGGTAAAATGTATTTTCGACCCAATTCGATGATTACAAAGGTGGTTAAAATTCATTCACGCCTCCAAAAGTTTAAAGGGTAAAACTCGTCATTGACCCAAAATGCGTCAGCCTTGAGGTTAACTCGATAAAGCGGGGTTTTGGTTTCAACTTATATGATCCCAATTGGCCAGCTCTACACGTTTAAATTACTTGACGAAGAAGCTATCGAAGTTGGGAAGAAGAATGCCAGAATTTGGCTAAGTCAAAATCCGTGTTCAGGGTACCTACTTTGGAGGCATGGTTCTCTCAATTGGCTTGGTGGAAATTCAAGTTTAAGGGGGTTTTTTTTTTTTTTTTGAAGATAAAGTTTCTATGTTTCCAATGGTATGCTTCTTGGATCCAGATGATGTCATTAAGGTTGTTTTCCAATGTCTCAAAGTGAAGCCTACTTTGGAGCTCAATTCAAGGAGCATGGATGGGATTCAAGTCAAAAGGCTTCTACAACATGAAAATAGGAATGTTTATCTACTAAGGAAAGGAACTGGATGAAAGATTGGAGTTCTGGAAGGACTCGAACGAAAGGCACGAAGTTAGTACGAAAACTGTTTTTGGACTGTTTGGTGGCAGCTTACTTGTGCTCCAAGAAAGGAAGTTTAAACCCGAATTTTGAGTCCTTTTAAGAGTTTGCTTTTACCTTAATTATATACTATTTCTATTAGGTTTGTATTAGGTTTTTATTGTCTTTAAATACCTTTCAATTTCACGTTGTAAATCGAAGTTTAGTTGAATGAAAATTGCTCCTTTGTGAGAATTGTGTTCTTTGAGAGTTCTCAAGAATCAAACCCTTGAGTTAGTTGTGTGAGGAATTCCATTGCTAATTCGAGAACCCTTGTCAATCTTTTATGTGAGGATTCCAGAATCGGTTTACGAGTTTTCTTATCAATCAAGTAAACACCTTGATTGTGGCGAAATTCTACCTTTTCAATCATTATCGTTCGAGAGTGTGTTTGATGCGTTACTTTGATCAAAAGCACCCCCCGGGTGCTTTATCATCAACTGTCATAAGAGGCGGGTTCAATTTGGGTTCAATCCCAAAGCGATCCAAATTTTTTGAAAACACATGAATTTCTCTGACCGGTTTGATAAAGCAAGGCTAGTTTCTAACAAAATCCACAAGAGACCCAATCTGTCGATCACAAAAGAGGGTAAAATGCGTTCCCCAAAAGTATCAAGTGTAAAACTCGGCATTGACCCAAAATGCATCAACACTGGACTTAACTCAATAAAGCGGGGTGTGTCTTTGAGAAAATGCACACCTGACCTTATTCGTTACTTTTAAAAGCGGGTAAAATTTGTTTTCGACCCAAACTCGGCAACACCGGTACCGGGTCAAATTAGTTTGAACAAACATGAATTTGGGTTCAACTATCATAAGAGGCGGGTTCAATTTGTGTTCAATCTCAAGGCGACCCAAAATTTGTGAACACACATGAATTAGCTTGAACACACATGAATTTCTCTGACCGGTTTGATAAATCCGGCGAGTTTCCAACAAAATGCACACGCGACCCAATTTGTCGATCAATAAAGCAGGTAAAGTGCGTTCTCCACCCAATTCGATGATTACAATAGTGGATAAAATTCATTCACACCCTCGAAAGTGTCAAGGATAAAACCGTTCTCGATAAAAAAAGGTGGCAATACTGGATTTAACTCGATAAACTAGGATTTTGGGTTCAACAATCATAAGAGGGGGGAGAGGGGTTCAATTTGGGTTCAATCCCAAAGTGACCCTAAATTCCTATACATCGACTCCAGCTCGAATTAGCTTAAACACACCTGAATTTGGGTTCAATTATCAGGAAATAATAAAAGCATTTGATTAATTAAAGAAAGGTAAACAATAAAATAATCCTAGTTGATGTGACTCTACCAAATATTAACCCAAAACTTGTTCTTTTAAAGCGCTTCAAGGTCGCAACTAAAATCATCTAATCCCTATAGTCTCCAAAATCATTTGCAAGCATGATAGAATGAAAAAAAATCGGTAAAAACCCATTTGCAAGGCTGAGCCAAAAAAAGTAGTAAAACGACCGTAACCTTGATTAATAAGCAAAGGAAAGACAATAAAACTTGTTCGACCCAAAATTCGTCAATACCGAGTTCAACTCACTCTACTGATTTAAGCATGTAAAACTCGCTTACCCGGTTCAACCCATTGATTTAAGAGTGTAAAATTCGTTATCGACC